AAGAGAACAGATTAAGCACGCGCATCAGAGAGGAGAGAGGGGGAGAGAGAGAGAGAGAGAGAGAGAGAGAGAGAGAGAGAGAGAGAGAGGAGAGACTGGCTCAAAACAGTCCAAATAATAATAGTGTTTCATTCTGGGAAGTTTTGTTTCTGTCTTTATATTCCTCTATATTTTGCAAGCTCTTTATAATAATCAAAAGAAAAAATGTCATTAAAAAAGGTAGGCATAGAAAATAAATGTGTAAACTTGTCCAGCGCTGCCCTCAGTTACGAAGCCTCTAGCAGTCTAAACATTTAAGAGGAAAGGAAGAAGAAACAGTGAGCAGTGAGCAGCAGCAGGTACAAAGCAACTTGCTGGGAGAAATGGATCAGGATGAGAGGTGAGAAGAATGTCAGTGACCTTCAGTGACTTGAAGGTCACTGAAGCTATTGTGTGTGAAGTGATTTTGGACACAGGATGCTGGCGAGGAAGGGACTGCAGGCATTTGGGCCAACACCAAGACTATTAAGAGGTAAGGTGGGCTGGAGAGAATAAGAGCGAGTGTATGTCTGTGTTCATAGCATGGAACATCGCACAGCAGGTAAAAGGAATCGGGGTGGTCACGAGACAAAACCTTTAGCTTTTTATACTGTTTGGATGTTTTTCAAAAAACATTCTTATAGTATGTATACAATAAATATATAAACATCTTTTTTTAAAAAAGAATTCACAGTAAGAAGGAAAGCGAGTATATAAACCTGAGGTGTTGAGCGGGCGAGTCAATCAGATGAGGGTCTGAATGAGCCCAGAATTACTGGCTCTGCTACTTATGAGCCGTGTGACACTGGATGCGTTCATCTATTTCTCTACGCTTCAGATCCTTTATCTGTTAATGGGGAAATTACACCTGCATTTGCAGAGCTATTGTCAGAACTGAAAACAAAGCATGTCCAATGCCCAGAAGCCTCAGAAGAGTCCCCGATAAACGGTAGCTGAGCATTTACACATCTACACCAGACAAAAGAAGTAAAGAACAGAATCTGCGTAACAACAGAAAATGCCTGAACCAATGAGCTGGAGAGCAGGAAGATGAGCGGGGGCCAGCACGGAGGCGGAGGGCCGGCTGGAAGGAACGAGGGGTCACAGCGTGCGAGCTCCCAACACTTACTACAGTTCTCTTCATCGCTGCCATCAGGACAGTCCTCAAACCCATTACAGCGGAAGCGGCCAATGATGCAGTGGATGCCGCTGGCACAGGGGAAGAACGTCGGGCCGCATTTCGATTTAGCCTTGGCTGCAGAGGGAAAAACAGGACAAACAGTAAGATATCAGAAGGTTAAGTTTTCTGCCCACTGCATACCCAGCCTGCTAACTCTCAGTGTGCAAATGGGTCCTTTTACACTTACCTTGAAGTCTCCTACAGTTTCTTACCACCGCCACCCACCTCCAACACCCAGCCAGACTGGAAGCCCACGGGCATCATCCTCTAGGAAGGAAGGAGCTAGATAAATCCCAAATTCACAGTAAGAAGGAAAGCAGTTCCTGTGAAAACTGCTTCAAAAGTCCCAAAGAGGCCGACATAGCCACCCCAGCAGCAGGGATCAATCAGAATGTGCTGAACGAGGAAGGAATGAATGGGTGAGTAAACGGATGATGGATGCAGCTTGCTCTTAAGGTGCTAATGTGCCATTCAGAATTCATTCCCTGACTGTGAAAGTAATCGCCCACATTTGATGAGTGCTTACTATACTAGATGGTGTGGCCAGTACTTCACATGGATCACGTCTTTCAATCTACCCAGCAACCACCCAATGGGATGGTGTGCAGAAAAGAATGCACATTAACAGGCTTGAGGCTGTTACCCTTAGAAAGGTTTGCTGGCAAGGTTAACCCTTGCATGGGAACTTGGATTTCGGGAGGGGATGCACCATTCTCTTATAAGAATGGCTCACTATGCCCAAACGAATTACACAAACAGTACAGTTTATGCTGAACGCCTGCTTTTATTCCTGGCGTTTGGGGTTTTGGTACATGCCAGGCAAAGGGTGCCTGTGTGACCAGCTCCCAGTAAAAACCCTGAATGCTGAGTCTCTTACAAGGTTCTCTGAGAAAACATTTCACACATGTTGTCACAACTTGTTGCTGGGGGATGAAGAGCATCCTGTGTGGCTCCACTGGGAGAGGAATCTTGGAAATCTGAACTTGGTTTCCTCTGGACTTCATTCACCTCTTCCCTTTGTTGGTTTTGCTTTGTATCTTTTTGCTGTGAAAAATCATAGCTGTGTGACTATATGATGAGTTCTATGAATCCTCCTAGCAAATTACTGACCCTGGAGGCAGTCTTGGGAACCCCTGACAAAGGTGGGTATAGTTCTTATCCCCATTTTACAGATGTGCTTTGGGTGGTGAAGTGACTTGCCCAAGGTCACACAACTAGAAAATCTGGCACCGGCATGAGGCCCCCGGCACACAGGCTCCAGAAGTCACACACTCAACCCACTCAACTGCATTGCCCTGCTGCCAAAGGCTGTCCCTTCTCACAACAGGAACCAGACTCCTGCTCAAAGAAATTCTTCTTCC